CTTTCAATCAGAAGTTTCATAGGATTTGTAAAATAGTTTGGATTTACTTTTGGACAGAAACGTATCAGCTTTGGGGTTTTATTTTTATCAGGAAATACTTGAAAGTCCAGCATTGCATCAGGTTGTATATTAGAGCTATGTAATTATTTTCTGTCTTCTTACAGTAACAGACAAGCTACTCAGAAACAGGAAAACCCCTTTCAAATTGCAGTCTGAAGTGTCTAGTCTATTGTTCCTGTATCACCTATACAGAGAAATGTAGAAAACTTGGAAACTGAAGTTTGAACTCAATTTCTTGAGCAAATTCAGTTATTTCCTGAAGAAGTGTTCTTGTGTTTCTGTTTATATATAAGCTTTAAGATTAAGTAGAGTCACTTATTTTTCTTCTAAATTTGTTTAACTGTATCTTTTCCATTTCTGCTCAGCAAAAAATAAGTTAAGTATCTATTCCAAAAGGCAGAGATGAAAGTGTACATTCTGCAGTATTTAGCAGTCCATTTGAAGATCAGGTCACTTTTTTTCACCTTGCTTTTAGTGAGAGCAATGACAAAACTGGCTGCTCTCAAAGAACACAACATAAGATTAATTTATTCCTACAAATTATTTCTGGTTATGCTAATCTCGAGTATTTATTTACATCTAGAGCAGGGCCAAACTCTAAAACAGATGCTTGAAGATTTTTTTTAAACCGTTTATATATACTAGGAAATTCTAATGAGTTCTGTATGAAAACAGATGTTTGTGGATAAATAAGCCTTTTTGTTTATGCATATTTACCAAAAAAATCTGTTTAATCTGTTCTTAAAACATTAAGCCTGAAAACTGGAGAGGTTGGGACAAAAGTATTTGCTGGGCCTTTTGTCTGAAATGCACCTCAGCTTGCTCGTCTGTTCCAGCGGCTGCTTAACATTTAGGAGGAGGAAAACTATTCTTTAGTTCAGGTATGAAAATGTGTGATACTTTATGCCAATTATTTGGCTGATTGCTGGAAGTGCATTGGAGTGAGGGGGTAGTGGCTAGTTCTGGCCTTCACTAATGGGAGCATTTCAGAATGTGGATAGTAATTAAAGTACAGAATGCAGAAAATTAGGCCAAAATTGAATAGAAATGAATAAGTATGTGTTCTGTTGTGCAGATGTTGGGAACAGATTATTTTGGATACCTCTTTCTATCTACATCTTATTTGGTTACCATGCAAAAATCGTCATACACTGATTGTAGATTGTTTCTTGCCATTGCCTTTTCTGGTTTTATGTTGTGATGTATCTCTGTAGCTAGTAATTTAGCAAAATATCCTGTCTGCCAGGTGTGGGAACTAGCTGATTGTATTGTAATACCAGATCATTACTTAATTCATACGCAACCTAGCCTAGCACATGGAAAGCATTATAAATCTATTTACAGTGTGGCTGGTCTGATGATAACATTGTATTAAATTCCCAGGTGAGGCAATTTAAGCAATTGCTTTGCCATGTGTAGGCCATGGAAATTAACTTCTCATATGCTTTAGTAATAGACGGACTTCATTGGTATGCTCAGTTTAGTAGTATAGCAGAATTCTTACAGTCTGGTTACATGTACCCTACTTCACATGTAGAATCATACAGGGGGGTGGTACTGCAGATCACAGATCTTAATTAGTTTAAGCTGAGTTAATTCATTTCAGTTCTAATTTAGCTGGGCTTGCCCACGAACACATTCAGTTCTATTGGGAAATGTTAAGGCTTGGGTCAAGTAGACAGATTGTTTAAAGCCAAATTGCCAGACAGAACTGAGCAAGTGTATCTGTTTGAACAGGGCTTTAAGGAAATCACCCAATCAGTATGCAAAAATCCTGTTCATAAACCAAGAGAGGTCTGCCTGGAATCAGAAATTCTTCCTTGTCAGAAGGTCTGGGTACTGTAGTACATGTAAAACAGCCTCTGAAACTTTCTGTCTTCAAGTTCTTGTAGAAAGTAGCTTAACCCTTTTGTGTCATTGTGTGTTCGTGTGCAATACTACATTTGGATGCAAACGTGTACACCGAGTTTAAAAACTTGTGTGCTTAGACTTTTGGTCTAGGTATCTACAAGAAAATATAAAATACAAGGAAAACTTCTGTATATGACAGACGAAAAACTTACAGGCAAAAAACTGCACACAGAACCTCTTAAACCTATATTGAGCTGCCCAGAAATGCCTTGGATTACAAACTCTGTAAAGCTTCTGTCTTTTCTAGAAACATACATATAAAGTACCAGTAGACAGTGGTAACTGACAACTAAGACTAAAAATGTTGACAATTTCTTGATTTGCCTGGTTAGCTTATGTATAGAAGTCATTAACTATTTATAAAATGCATTATGAATTGGTTTCCTTCAAACTGTAGCAGAGTGTGTGACATTTCCAGCTCAAACTATCATTCTTGCATTTGGCTAAAGTACATATTTATAAACAGCTGATGGTTATGAACTAAAAAACCCCCATAAATCTAAACAGTATTTAATTATTGAGTTCAGACAAACCAAACTGATTTTGATAGCCGCATTTAAAAGTGTTAGCCAATATTACTTTAATAAAAATAAGAATAGTAATTCAAGATATTGACATTTTGGACAAATCCTGAAAGAACAAACGAACACTTTAGTTCAAAGGCCTTTCCTTTTATATTATTGATTCATTTGGTAGTGAAACTGTGATCAAAAGTAGTATCAAATTATTTATTGATTATGGCAAAGAGTTATACCTAATTGTAGTCAAAGGGTTATTTCTTTTAATATAATTACTGATTTTCAGATCATGACAGATTATTGCAATAAAAGAACAATGATACAAATATATTTATGAAGTTCAGTGGTGCTGATATAGAGGATTGTAAAGGGCCTCTAAAAATTGTATTGCTATTAACATTATTTTCCTACCCATGAAGATATTCTTTTTACTTTCTGCTATGCAGGCTTTTATGAATGAAAATATCAGCCAGTTAAACCTTTCAACTATATGATGTCTAACCAGGAACCATCTCAGTCTCTACATACAATTAGGCAACTTGTTCACTGGAGAGCAAGCTCATGAAGCATCATGCTCCTCATCTCAGACTAATAATGATAAATACATTCAACACCAACAGAATCAATGGGGCTGAGTTATTTTGTGAAACTGGGAGAGACTGTACAGTTGAACTACTAGACCTCAAATGGGAAGATTGAATTTTAATCAGAAAAGAAGATTAGATATTTTATCGGTATACATTTGTAATTTCCCTCCTTGTTTGATGAGTACCAAATAAAAATGGGAAAATAATATAATTGAGCAATCTATGGCAATTTGTTGGCTTTTTGGTGAAAAAAGAGAAAAACAAAACCTACCTCCATATGATATTCTTGCATACTGTGGAGTGTTTTAGTCCCCCATAGTGATGAAATGAATAATTTAAACAGGCAGCTCTGATACCACAGCCTGTTTAAAGGTTCTTATTTCCTTTAATGCTGTAGACTACTTTAGCTTGGTTAGTATGAAACTGTGACAGCTGAGATCTCCAAAAGATTTGGTACAGTTCATCTCTTGTAGTAGGTCCGTGGTATGCTTTGTCCTTGCTATGTACATCTGTAGATTTAGTATATAATCTAGATATGAACAGTAGCAACTGAATCACAAATCACTAAGCATTGTAATGATGATGAGAACAAAGGGTAAACTACAAAGACTATAAAGCTAAAATGTGTTGCTCTGAGATGACCAACACAAGGCTTACTCCACTGCCAGGTTGCCAGTGTAAGGGGTGACCCAATACCAAATTTCTTTGTTACAAAGGTAATGAATTTTCATGTGCTCAGTATAATTTCTAGTGGCTTGTTTACTGTGCCCTGGTCCCAGGAATGTTTTTTTGGCATGATTGTCCAATTAGGGAAGTTTTGAGGAGGAATTTGTTTTTGTGGAGTTCCTACTGGTAGTGACTACAATGGCAGAATGTGAGGGAAGTTCCCATCAGTAAAGGAAGGCTCTATAGCTTAGTTCTTGCTACTCTTGGGTTTCTTCCTCTGATGAAGAGTAAAACTGATCATAACCACACTCAAATGTAAAAAGACTCTAGCCAATTTATTAAAAATCCTTTCTCTCTTTTAATAATGAGTGTAGAAATATTAACTAAGGGCCTGTTATTTGGCCAACAGAAAATTTGATGTTCTGTTTATGGATTCCCCATTGAATGCTGTGCTACCTTGGTAATCTTCAGAATTTGCTTTCCATTACTTGGCACTTGATCTAGTTTAGAGTCAATATGGTGATCAGTTCATGAGCAGATCTGCTGCTCATAAGCTGTGAGTAATGACTACCTGTCATAATCTAATGAATGTCTTATCAGTTTCATGGTGTTTCCATGAACTAAAGTAAACTGATGTTTCCTTCTACTACTTGTCTTCTCTCCTTTCTTTTTGCCTTTGATATCTGGCCCTTTCCCAGTAGGCCTTCATAGCCTTAGTGGCATAGAAAACACTTGTTATTTTTTTTCATCTTTAAATTCAACCAGTTTTGTGAAATGTGTGTTGTTCAAGTTTTCAGTTTTTTAATATGGGAACAGCTCAGTCTTCCTTTCCTGTTTATTGGCATCACTGCAGTGCTCTGCCAAGTTCTGCATCTAGCTAGCAAGTTCTTCAGAAAAATGCATTTGGTTCCAGCACATGCATGTCTTCAATGCTTCTGGTATTAGTGCATATTGCGTCTTCTGGTTACCCGATTATCAATACTGGGATCACGCGTTATATATCTTGAGCTTCACTGAAGCTGCTTTCATTGCTGAAATGCTGAGGATGTGACTGTCTTAGAAATGCTGAAGTTTTTCATGCCTATTTGTCAAAGTACAGCACTTGAAGAACTTTTTAATAACTTTTTACTTGCAGATTATTATTTTTTTTATCAAATAGGTATCCATTAGGGGGCTCTCGAGGTTTAAGATGATCAGCCTTGATACCAAGGGCTTTGGAGCTTTACTTCCTAACCCTTTTTTTCTTTTTGTTTTACAGAAAAGGTCACGAATCGCCTACAGTGATGAGGTGCGGAATGAGCTCCTAGGGGATGACGGGAATTCCTCAGAGAACCAGGTAGGATGCTAATCAAGAAGCCCTAGTGGGTGGCTGGAGGGTGAAGGAGGTCACTGGCACACTGGGCTTCTCAAGCTGCTCCTTAACAGCATTAGCAACAACTCATGTGGAAGTGATACTGTTTAATGCAAAGCTGGGGTCTTAATCAACTTCAAAATGTTTCTTGGAGATCTTACATTTAACCCTTTAACTTGTGATCACTGTCTGCTATCTTAAAAAAAAATCTTTTCTTCTCTTTTCTTTATTATTTAGTACTTAAAAAATAACTTGAAACGTGCTGTTTGCCGACAAAGCCAAGGTCTTCACCTCAAACACATGTAAAAGGAATAAAAAAAGTACATAATGCAGCTTTGATAATAATGCAGTATAATTAAATCAACACTGGCAGGCAAAACAAATGAAAGTGCGCTCTCAGAATTAGGCAGTACCCCACTCAGTTTCCTTGTGTGGTTCCTTCCCTAAACAGATTTTTTCCCCTTGTACCAAAACCACAAGTTGTACTAATAAGAGCATGCTTTCATAATGCGTGTTGTCTTAGAATGCAGAGTGCCATCCATCTCTTTTAATGAAGGAAAGCTTGATAATCCTGAGGCTTCTTACAGATCTTGTATCCGTATTGTGGTTTTGGACACTACAGTGAGGATCCTGCTAGACTAGTGAAAATTATAAAGGCTATATTATATTCAGGGGAGTCTGACCCACCTGTTAATATTCCTTTTGGTGCTGAAACTTGTTTGACAAGCTGTCTGAAAGTAGAGTGTTTCTTTTCTTTTCTGAAAATCATGTCAGCTGTAATCAAAGTTGTGCATTTTGGGTTAGAAGTTAGTTGAAAGTTTTCTTAACTATCAGAGTTTCTTTTCTGACCAGATAGAATTATTAGATTATTTTGGTAGTGAAAATTAAAATTGCTTAAATGTTTATTTGATAAATGCAATATTAGATAAGGAAACAGATTGGAACCATGTTCTGAAATTTTTAATATCTTCTACCTTATCTTAATATAATAGATATCTTCTATCTGTCTTAATATAAGGTCAGTTCCACTAGGATAAAAAAGAAGAAAGACTTGGAGACTTATCCCAGTACAACGAATTTTAAAACACAGACCCCTTAAGTCTTAACCTTATACAGTATTTTAAATGCACTGTTTGAGTTTTAAACTCTGTAGTAGACTTTAATACATACATTAATGAAATTATACAGGCTGCAATTTATCTGTAGACATAACACTTAATACATAGCAGCTCTCATATCTGTGTGAATAATTACATTGAAAAGATACTAATCTTCATATTTATATACTATAGCAAGGGGAGATTCCAAAATTTGAATAAAATAGACTTTTTTTTTTTTATCCCTCAGTAATGAATTTATGGAAAGGCTGATTTTAAGGGAAAGTTTCACAGTCTGCACGTCATGATCATAAACTCAGTCTTGTGAAAGTGTTAAGATTCTTATTTTATTTCTTTTAAGGTGCTGCTATTTTTACATTTCAAGAAAAAAATTGTGTGAATTCAGACATAAAAGGGCAATTGTGATAAGAAGCTTTACTTATAACAGAATATCTTATGTGGAGGGATGAGATAAAATATTTTATTTTCACTTTTTAAGGAATGATTAAATAACTGGTTCACATGTGCACTTTTTGCGAGTTATGATCTTTATTCTAACCATGATGGAATAAACATGGTCTCATCTCAAGGAACCAAATGATAACTTCAACATGAGTTTTTTCTTCCAAATGACCACTTCATAAATGGAAGAAATTTTTGGCTGGTAAAGGAGTTCTATCTAGTCTTATAGGTAATCAAAATCCTTTTCTATAACCCAACTATACCTTTGAAAATTCTGAGTTTCTGAGTTTCTTCCTTGAAAAATGTTGTGAAATACCACCACCTAAGGAGTCACCCAACTTCTTTTAAATATGTGAATGCAAGTATTTGAAAAAAAAATAAATTTATTTATTGTATTGCTCCAGTAATCAATTTTGCAATCTCTTTTTCTTTATGAATTGTCATTAGTTATGTTTTTACTTATCTTACATGCATGTAGATATGGGTTCAGGCAGGCAGCACAAAAACTTCAGTCTCATGTTGAGCTTATCAAAATGTATAGCTGTCCAAATCAAGTATAAGGTTTGGGTACTTACCATACACTGAACATGTTATATTGATGTATTTAACTCAGTAAGTCCAGGTCTAATTCACTCTTGCTCCAGTATGTTATTATATCAATAGAAAATTTGGGCTAGATGATGCAAGGAAGTCAGGTATAACTTGCAGCCATATAAATTATTTGAAGATGTTTCAAATTCTTGCTTTCATTTTGTCTGATGGAAATTAATTAGGTAGATGGACTGACCTTCACCCTAATATTGCAGGACTTCTGGTTCTCAATCAGTTTGGATTAGGTTACATTTCTTAAACTGGAAAATGGTGGGTTTCTTTTCCCCAGTTGACTCACCAAACTGAAAGGAGAGTGGACGGATTCCTCTTCTGACAGAGGAGTTGTAGAAGAACGTTGCGAGCTCAGAGTTGCTCTTACCAATCTGCAAATATTGGTAAAATCTGCCAGTAGAAATACTGAATATCTGGTTAGACTGGGGTGTTACCCAAGGGAAATAAGATACAAGCTGCATGTTTCAGGTATGGTCTTTGTCATCGTAATAAACGTTTGCTTAAATGGTTTTGGTGGAGTGAGAAGACAAAAAGCACTTGATGTATATTGGCTAATATGACCATATTAAATATCTAGAAATAAATGGAGCACTGTTGGAAAAATAAAGAATTTGGATCTTTTCTTTATTCAACTTCTGTTTTTTCAGTTGAGTTTCAAAGGTACAATTACAGCAAGCCAGAGCCAAGGTATAAGCTGTAATGAATAGGGTCATAGGTATGAGTTGTTCTCCCAAGAAGAAAGATTGAAATACAAAGAACAGATTGAAGAATTGGCAAATTATCTTTCATCTTAATTTTCCCAATGTCTTCCATAAGTACCAGTCATCATGTGTAGATGACAACTTAGAATAGAGTTGCCTTGTAATGGTTATACCAAGATTTAACTAATTTTACCAGGTAAAGCATATGGAAACTTCTCATAAGTTGTAAGAATTATGCAATTCTGCTATTCAAAGTTTCTTTTGAAGTAACTGCATCATTATTTAATGAGATAGGTAGTGGCATACTGCTCTTTATGTGCTTTGAGTTAAGTAAAGTCATTGCTAAGTATATGTTAATTTCTTCTTAGTTTGAATCATGTGAATCTGGAGACATCCTTCCTTGCATCAAAAAAAAACCCCACCTCACAATCCCATATCCCAAAACCTACTGTGTGCATTGTGTTGTTATTTATTTTCCAGGAGTGGTTAAAATGGGCTGTGTTGCTTTCAAGTCTTATTTGGCATTCTGGCCACCAGCGTTTATGAAATCCCTCAAAAGTTTCGTGTTTTTTAGGGTACTACTTAAAGTTATGGCTTTGCTTGAATAACAATACAACTGGTTTATGTGGCAATTTGAATGCCTTTTTAGAAAGTATGTGTTGTGTTAAATCAGAAATCCTTCTCAATTAAAATGTCAGGTACAGTATTACCAACTTTCTTGAAATGCACTAGTGTTCCTTTCTCTTTTGCAACTGTGTTCATTAATGAGTTTAAATAAATTTGCATTAGGTTAAACTGCATCTCCATATACACATACATTGTATATGTGATTTGCGGTGAACAAATATTTTGTGGCTACTTAATTTCTAACTACAAAGTTGTGATAATATTAGATTTGGGCTTGCTGTGCATAAAGTGTGTCAAACTTCAGCTACAGACCAGGGGGTGAAGTTGGTCAATTTAATTCCCCAAGATCTAAAGAAGGTCGGTATCATTTCATATAGCCCTGGCAGAGCAGATCATTACCAGACACAAATCTGTTCGTTACATGCCGAGGGTTTATAGAAAAATAAATAGACTGTCATCATAAGTTCAGAAAATTGTGTGTTCGACCCACGATAATGTGTAAAGGGCGTTTAATAGAGTTCAGCATTTATTCGTTATCTATATGCGGACAGAGACGGCGGTAGCGTTATCAGCCTTCTAAAAAAAATCCAGTAGTTTCCCGTGCCACGTGACGTGCCTCACAGACACACACACATACACGCGTGCACACACACACACATACACACACATCCCCCATCTCGCTCTCTGCGGTGCAGTTTTGATTTTAGTCACAGCAGAAGGCTTAGCCACAAGAGATTCCACTGGTTCAAACCAGCGTAAACCAGATTTATGGGTTGGTTGTTTTTTTTTTCCCAGCCTACAAAGGAGCAGATTGCCTCTTGTATCGAAGTCTGTATTGCAAAAAAAAACAAAACAACGAAAAACCAAACCCCCAAAAATCATCTTTGTTTCAGAAATACGCTGATTATCATAACCTAAAATGGTGGCTGCACGCTGCTTGTTGCTGCTTACGGTTAAGCGGTGAGCATTATAAAAATAAGGTTTCAAAATAGAAATGTAGAGGTAGCACATTTTCATCAAGAGCATTGTTAAATGGGGGAAAAATACATCTTTTGTTAATTTGAATGAATATCTTTCAGCCAATGTTAGAAAAAAAAAGAAAACCCAAACCCTCTCCCATTACTTAGCTGAGCTGCAAATCCCATGCAGAGCTTAAATTCAGCCATGCAGCACAAACAAGATAGAACATTTTTGTTTGGGACCTATTGAAAAAACAAATGTGCAGCATTTTAAAACTCTCATTGATTATAGCAGGGTGGCATGCCCAAACGGGCTCTATTGCGGGAGAGTAGTTTTAAACTTTGGCCCTTTAAGTATCATAGCCAACTGAAGAATGGTGGCCTCAGAAAGAAAAGATAGCTATGTGATCAACTCCCAGATCGTCTCTTTCTAAAGAGCCTGAATGTTTGCCTTTTTGGGGAAAAAAGGGGGAGAAGATCTGGAGAAAGAGACCAATTTATGATAGGCCAAGCACTTGAATTTAAGCGCTGGTTTGGCGGAAAATGCAGTTTTCTTTGTACCAAATTCTAGCAAAGTTCCTTTAGCTACGTACTGAAGAGCCGTTTCAGTTTAAGTCCGTGTGGTAGTAGCCCTCCTAATTACATCTTGTTAGAGCCTCGTTGTCTGTTTTGGTGGCGGGGTGAGGCGTACAATCAGTTCTAGACGAGCCATGTGAAACAATAGAGAATAATGGAGGTTCTTTTGTTTCCTTCATGCTGGTGAGACTTTATTAGTAGTAAACATTCTCAGCTTACACACGTGTTGAAAATTAGTGTTATGAAACTGTAGGTGAAGTATCAGCATAACCTGAGATAATGATGTAGCTGTTGTAATTTTGAATTCAACTGGAAGCGGTGAGAGAACTGTAATTTTTTGTAAAGAGCCACTTTTATGCAGGCATTTGTTGCGAGTAATTATACGTTTTGTTCCAGTACAAATAATTTATCTATCTCTCTAAGGGGAGAGCATATTACAACATAGCTTGATAATCAGACTGGGGTTATATTTAGTTTTATAGCAAACCTGCCAGAGCAATATTATTAATAGTGCTAGACTGTGTTAATTTGCAAGCATAAATAGATAAATATAAATGTATATGCTATATAAGTATACACAGACACACTATGTGTGTATATATGCACACACTGAATAGTGGTCTAGGATTAAGAACCTGGAGTGGGTCTTTTCTGAAGGAAATACGTTTTGTGTTGTTCCCTATTCCTTTGTCTATTTTTAAATATGCTGTGCAATAAATCATAATTCTGAGCCATTTATCTAAGCTGCAGCTTTTTTTTTTAAGCTGGAAAAAACCCTCTATATGAGGTTCAATAATAAAATTAGATAATATAGTTGCAGTAGAACTCAGGTATATAAAAATTGAAAGACTGCTTATGTGCTATAAAGATGCATTCATCTATTAATAAGTTAGATCTGCTAGTAAAATAAGAAATCAGTTGTCACAACTAAAATATACAGAAAACATTCTGAAAACTTGTATATACAAAACCACTTCAGCTGTACAATCTTCGAAGAGAGGAATAGTAAACTTGTTTTTTCTTTATAATATAGACTTCTATGAAGTCATTCCCCTTTATTTCATGATGGTGTCTTAGATGTGGTTTAAAAGAGAATTTCACACTATTCTCTTTGTTTAATGTGACAGTGTGAGAAAGTGATCTTTATTCGTTCAAAAAACTCTGCATGTAGTCTATGTTTAGGTTCTTTTAATGTGTTTGTCTGTGATTTTTAAATGCTAAACATGTAAACAGATAAATTGTCAATGTTAATTCTGTATCCTGTCACACAACTGATCTTTCTTTCCTGCCATTTCTTTCCTTTTTATCTTTTTTGTGCGTTCATGTTGCAGTTGATAAAATTACGTGAAGAGGTGAGTACTTTCTTGCTTTTTGTTGTCTAGCTTTCCCTTTAAAGCTGAGTTTCTAAATCTGAAGTAGATCTTTTTGTTCATTGTTGCAGGGAAATCTACACAAAGCAAAAATATTGATTACATTGCTTTAAAATATTCACTGTTGTGCCTCTTTTTCCCTAATAATTGTATACTTACGTAGGAATCTCTAGATCAAACCTTAGAAATTAACATTCTTTGATAGTGGAAATTTTTTTAAAGGCACTAGAAAAAGAAGAGGGGAAAAAAAACCACTATTATTTGATCTCTGCTAGAATACCATGATCAAATCAGGTACGGTAATAATCATGTTTACATCACAAAATCTTTGATAGGGTAAATACATTTATACTCCATTATTGAAAGTGAAAGCATTGCTTTGGTAAAAACCTGTGCTGAAACACTGTAAAAATTACACAGTATTTCACAGTGATTGAGTTTGGTGTGAGGTATTCAAGTAGCTTATGTATTATACTGGATATTGTATATCCACTGCAAATACAGTACAGGTAGACCTATGCACAGATATCAATATTTATTATGTATTTGTGAGTGCTGTAGATCTGTAGGTGTAACACTAGAGATCAGTATTCCAGAACACCTTTCTTCCAGTTATAAAATGACTCATAAATATTTAGAGAGAGAAGCCTGTTTTAATGGTCAGTTCCTCAAATGTTTCAGTATATTTTCTGAAATTAATCTTCTCTGTTACTTGCTGCTGTAGCAAAGCAGGTATCTGAACTGCTTGTTTTTATTATTATTGTTATTTCCTGATAGCTACCAAGAAAAAGGTCTCAGTAAAGTCAAGATTACTTATAGGTCAGATTTCTGAAGGGTTATGTACAGAGTTGGAACCAGTGAAGTATTTGAATAAATATGTTTAGAAGCATGAGTATTTTAACATCCCATATTTGTCTGGTATCTTCTTTTTGAAACATGTGTTCCCAGACATATCAGTATTGAATACTGAACTCCGCAGGAAAGGATTTGTAAGTTTTAGAAATGGTGATGACAAAGAATTGTAAAGTAACCAGATTAAGGACAATTACAGAGAATTCTTAAAAACAGTAAGATATTTGTGATGTAAAGATTGTTTCAGTAGTTCCCTGAATGCTTTATTTTTCCCTCTTCTTGTGGAGCTGATATTAATATGTTAAATGGGAAAAAAAAATTAAACAAAATAAACATGCAACCACATGAAAGCCCTCCCACCACTGCTGAGCTCCCCTCCCCAATAGTCCCAGTATTTAAACAGATGACAATATTGTTGCAAGGGCTTGTATAGCCTGATTTCTGAGATTTTTCAGAACAAGGTTCATTTGCTCATCCCGTTAACAACAGCTGCATGTCTGCTCCTGTGCTTTTGTAAAACAATGTAGTAGGGTCATTTTTGCTTGCAAACGTAGTTTATAGTTTTATAAGCATAAAGATTCCTAATTTGTAAGTTTACTCTGAAAACTGAATCAGATATAAAGAACAAAGCTGCTACTTAACTGCTCTCCTTTTTGAAATAGCTATGAAGGCCAATAAGAAAATTCAGGATGTTATTGCAACTTGGGAGCTATGCTCAACTCAGTCATACCTTTTGGGGCTTCTAAATCCTCTTTGTTAGCCACCTGAAAAGATTTGACATTGGTCCTGGTGATTTTCTTTTTTGCTTTTCCTTGCTGGCCTCATAAGTTACTTGTTCGTCTCTCTGCATATTGTGAAAGAGGCAGGAAATAGAAGTAAATAAAGGGATTTGTTATTTTTTCTAGTTTGATTGTACAGGTAGAGAGAGAAATAATTTGAGAAACAATTGTTAGCATTCTGTTCTCTGTATTTAGTACCCACTATGTGCTGGATAGGTTGTAATTGCAATGATGTTTTTATACCCAATGCAAAATGCACATTAAAGTTAAAATGAAGGCTAGTATGGTGACTCAGGCATAATTCTTAACTCGTCACATACTGAAACATCAAGGCATCCCCAATTATAGTTCTCCTAAGGAGGTATGAACTGATCTTAAAAGAAATTGTGGTTTGCCATAGTGTTTGTTAATAAAACCTGTGCTTCCTCTCATTACAGGGCTCTATTCTAGCACGCTTGCCGTACACAGGCTTCCATGGAGGCTGTGTCATTCTGTCTTTTGAGCTCCTGAGATCTCAGTTTGAATCCAGCCCACATGCAATGACTAAATCTCTAGTGATAGCGTGCCACTTTGCAAAACTTCCTTATATAACTCCAGATAGAAGCTGTTTCTGAAGCTGCAAGATGCACTGAATCACCTCGCTACCCACCTCACAGAGAGCAGGGGATACTGTGGGAGAAGGAGTTTGGGGAGGGGTGGGAAGCAGTTGGAAGCATCAGCTGTTACTGTAGGGCACTGATTTCATGACCAAAGGACAGGGTGCCTCCAAACCCAAGCAATGTAAATAGCACCACCCTTTTTAATAAAAATTAAGTTTCATTATAGAATGGCTTGGGTGGAAAGGTTCTGAAATTAAGAAAGAAACAGCTCTGAGTTAATGTTAGCACCGAGTTCACAGGGCTTTAGTATTCTAATTGCTCTCAGTAAGAATGAACTGAACTGGGGGCCTGCAATTTACTTTTCAGATTAAATGTGGGTTATATAGTATATCAAAACACACAGTTAAATGCTAATTCTTTCTCTTGGGTAGCTCTTCCACATTGTAATGTGAAATCTGATTATTTCCTTCCCCCCCCTCCCCGCAACATAGCAGGATAGTCTTTTCATTTCCAGTATACCACTACAGCACTATACATCTGTTCTGTAATTATAATCTTCCACTCCTTGTGCTCACTCCCAGGCTGTGTTTTCTTTTTAAAGTATCTTCTAACTTTTAAGATTTTTGCTTTCTAAACTCCTTTATACCCCCCCCCCCCCTTCTCTTCTACTTTTCTTTCTTGAGTGACATCTCTGTAATAGTGTCAGGTTTCTGATGTTTTTTACTAAGTTTAAAACATTTAACACGAGTATTTAGAACTAGTTGTTCTTCAATATCATGGGGGGGGGCAGTATTTGGAGAAAGGCACTGCAGGCTTGCACTTTTTTTTTCCTCTTTTCTTCTAATCGGCACTGGAGAGGAAACAGCAGATGTTATGAAAAGGTGCCTTTAAAAAAAAAATTAAGCAAAATTAACACTAATTATCTAGATTGACCATGAGTACTAAGAACATGCACCACTCTAGTTGCTGTCGTGATTTCAATTACAGCACTGTAACTTCTGGTTTTAAATTTTATTAAGTGCTTGTGCTGATTCCTTTTTTTTTTCCTGGTGGCCTGCCCCCCATGAATGCAAAAGGCTTTTTTGCAATTTACTCTTAACCTATCCACTGTGTATTAGACAACTCTATTAATTATTATAGACTGTTATTGCAGCTTTCCTGACCTTCACGTTGGGTCCTATCTGTGCTGATCTAAATGCATTGTTTTAATGATTTCCAAAAAAAGAAAAAGAGAGGGGGGGGAAAAAAAAGGAAAAAAAAAATTCAAGGCAAGCTTTGATGTGGCTTTAGCTGCCTCGATCGTCTGGCCGCATCTCAGAGATGTGTCACCTATGCCGGGAGGGAATAGGGAAATCACGTTTTGAATGGTAATGATAACATACTAATCACTTCCTTTCTTTGAAGATAGAAGCGAGATATTCTGTCAGCATCCCTGGCTGCTAGAGCTTGGAGGCACTGGTCTAGGTGTATTAGCTTAAGTGTGCATGTCAATACAGCTTGCATCTCCCAAGATCCATAGGGGCTCATTAGAGCAAGGTAGATCGTTTCGGTAGACAGCCACTCAGATAATATGTATGGCACCTCCTTTTTTTATTATTATTAGAAAGCATTGCTTCATTTTTAAAATGACATCTGTCAACAAGGCGAAGTTGTAGGAAATATTTTTTGACAAATATCCAAAATGCTGGGTTTGGGTTAAGGGGTGCTCGGAAAGGTGTGTGTGATAGCTTTACTGTGAGGGGGGTTACGTTTTGTGATGGCTTGATTAGAGCTAGTCTAGGATGAAATTTCCAAAGAAAAGGAGCTTACATGTTGAAATGTTGGTGTTTTAGGTAGAGAATAAACTGATGAAAATAATAATTTGACTTTTTCACTATTGTAGACTGCCCAAGTGAAAATGCATTGGAAGATGCATTTTTACTACAGTTTATTGTTTTCTTATAAATGGGCAAAGGAATTCTGGGAAAAATATCTTATAGATGTGTTTGTGTATGTTGTTTATATATTCATATATATATTTAGGCGTAAGAGATGTAAATCAGGTAACCAGTGTTTTGTTTTTACATCTTTTTACATCA